CGCGAACACCCCGCAACCACTCTTCGCGACGTGACTCGCTACGAAGATACAAAGGCTCGTTGCTCCGTTGCTTCTCGATCTCGATCGTAAAACGGGCGAGCTCGTGTCTCGCGGTTCTCGCCTCTTTATCCGCAGCCTTCTCGATCCCATGATTAATGCGATCGCCCGGCGCTCGATCGCTTTTCTTATAATGGAACTGTCGACGCCCGCGAAACTGGGGCGCACTTAAACCTCGAATACCACCGCGCAGTGATTCCCGATGTATCAATCTCTCCTGTTTACTCTGGCAAATGTTCGATACGCTTCTCGGTTGATTTACTCAGCGCAAAACTAGCTGCACGCGGTGAATTTTTGTACGATTTTTTCGGATTCCAGAGCCCTCGAAATTTTGCTGTAAGTTTTTAGTTCGAATAAATTAATATATATTTTAACACACTTTAGAATATACTCTTTAGATTATAATAGAATGGATGCGTGTTTACGGTTCGACCGACGAAAGAGAACGGTTAGACAAAGCCAAATATTTTTAGTCTAGTAAAATGTCACATGACAATGTACATAGTTATGTATGTACAACAACAAATTCTAATATTTCCAGATTGGCTAATTTGAAGTTCTCGAGATTGAAAGAAAGAATTATTAGGTTTAATGGTAATGCCGTAGGCCAAGAAATATGTTTCTCGCGTTGAAGCAAAATAGCTTTGAGCGCGAAGTGTTAATTAGTTCCTCTAGGAGATTGTAAAGAATTAAAGGTGTTGGTGATTCTCTTTCATCCGCGACTTCTTTCAAAATAAAAATTCTGTTACACTTTTAACGCAGCAGCAGCAGCAGGCCAGGTGAAACGCAAACAGTTTCCTGCAGCTTTTTCTCATTTCCTAAGTCGTTCGAAATTAATTAATTTATGCACTTGCACCCGGCCGCTGTTCGCATGGAACGTTCTTTACACAACTTTTCGTTACACCTTTGTGGTAGAAACAACAATAAGCGCGCGAAATAAACTTCTTTGTTGGTGAAATACTGATTTCTGTGAACCATGGCAGAGAGAAACATTAGCAGGACCACTTTAGACATTTCTGATTTCAACTGGAACCGCTTCTAATTTCTCGCAGGCGAGAGAGTGACGTCCGAAAGACGTAAATTGCGGGACCAGTGTTCGCGTTACCGTTCTCGCCGGTTGACGAATAAATCTACAAACCGGCTCCGTATTAACCTTTGTACTCGAAGCCATTTTAACTATAAATCTAAAATAATTTTTCCGACTCTGGCTATTCCCATTTTATATGACAAAGTGCATTTTATGCATATGAGATTGAGTCTCGCGACTCATACAACAATTACACTTTCAACAATTTTCTTAAATCTAAACTTTGATAATATATATAAAAATGATCTCGAAACGCGATATAACAATTTTACCGATTTTAACGATTTCACACTTTGTCTTTTAAGATTCTTTAGATTATAAAGACTTTACCATACGAAATTATCGAATGGACATCTCAATTGAATCGTACATTATAATAAAATAATAATAAAAAGTCTAAATAAATCCAGTCTTGCCGTTCTTGTAAAGCAAAAACGTGTTAGCCACTGTTAGAGCTCGGTTAAGATTAGTGTTGAAATGGCGCTCGTGATTTAATACGGTATAGAGCATTCGCAGCCGATCGTGGCCCATTTCGATCTACATAAACAGGCGAGGGTGAGGTCGCGCGCCGCTTAGATAATAAAAAGCCACCGGCAATAAAACAAATTCGGGGCAATCCGATCGCGCGAAGGTGCCGGGCCGCGTTCCGAGGCGTTGCGGTGTCATGGCAATTTACATGTCCGGGACCACCGCGATAGTAATGCACGCCGGTAGTAATGCCAAATGGCAGTTTCCCCGCGGGAAAATGTCGAAACCGAGAAACTTTGATCGTAAAAGGGTCTCGAGTGCTCTTGCTCGGAGCGGCGGCGGGGGTGGCTGCCAAGGGGAGTCGCGGAAACGTAGACTCGAATCGAACTTTGCCGCGGATTAGTCGGAAATTCGGGAGCCTTCCGAAGCAAATGCTCCGTTCTTTCTTTCTCAGTTCGGATCCTGGCGCCCCTCGCTTCCTGTCGCGTTCCTCCCGGAGGATGTTCTCTTTGCGGACGCGAGAAGAAAGGCTCCATAGGATCCAGTTCATTGGCTATATTAGTCGTAAAAAAGAGCGCGGCTCGAATTTCTCGCCGGTCACCCTATCCGCAGCGCTCTGTCGAGCTTTCACGTATGTTCGATAGAATGAACGAGAGGTCGAGGTGCTCGGAATCTGAGCAAGGGCTGGGATTATAATCGACTTAGAACGCCGCCAGCCGTTCCGCTGGCAGGCTCGACTCCGAAAAAAATCGAAAGCCGAGCCACCGGCTACGAGGCCGAATTTGTCGAGGGTCTGGTTTCGTGAGCACACTCGTGACGTGACTCTTGTACGGGCCACGGATCCTCGAGCGTACTCGCGAGACTCGAATTAGGGAGACGGTTAACGGCTCGGCAGACGAGTTTCTTTGGCCAGAGGCTGCCACTTCGCGCTCGGATAATTCCTTAATTTCTTAAACAAAAAACTCCTGACACGCGGTTTCGACCAAAACCCTCCGAACTGTTCTCGTAGAGCCGTGCCGAAGGATATAAAGGCAAGTTTTGACGGAGGTGGCGCGATTAAATTAATCCGAGGATCGTTCCGTAGAAGTTTGGCGCGAAAAATTGAGAAGAAGACCCCGATGGGGTCCGGAAGATTCACGGGGGCTGACAAATCCGGGATTAAATCCACCGGAGGTTGGATCGGCCACCGCGATGGGCGATCCAGTCGTCGTGAAAAATTAACAATGACGGTCCCTCGGAAGAAGCTGGATGCGACCACCGTGTCGAAAGCGAGCTATCTCCGAGGCCAGCGCCGGGAAAGAACGAAGGAAAAATCGATGCGTGCGCGCGTTACTTTGCGGCCGGCTTTTTTTCGGCGAAGCTGTAGGGGCCAGCGAGAAAAAATATCCATTTCCATTTTCGCAGCGGCGCGGCGCGGCACAGAAGAGCCCCCGGCCGCGATTCTGGGTCACTCTACCTCGCATGGTAATCCCGTAGCGGCGAAAGCCTGGTCGCGTGAAACGTGCCTAATCGCGAGATCGGCTCAACCCTTTTGCCCCGGTGAAAATCGCCTGGCCACCTGCCCAGGATTACGCGTAACCATTGTTCGCCGGTGAATCTCGAAGAAGAGAGACCCAGGTTAGGTAATCTGGACCGCAACGACACGCCAACGACCAAGCCCGCTAAAACTCCGCCGGGTATGCTTTTTGACGATCTTGGTTGAGCCTCTTCCGATCATTGTAGTGGAGTTTCTGGGGATTTTCATCGAACTCCATTCTATCGGTACAATGAAACCCCGGCTATCCGAACGAAAGAAGAGAAAATGCATGCTCGGATAATAGAAGAGTTACATAGTTGCGAAGCCAGTCACTTAGCCACTGGATAGTTAACACGTTGAATGCCACGCCGGTTTTACAGAAATTGTCCGTGGCGCCTCGATGAATTTTCTTTTATGCGATACATATAATGTTGAAATATTACCTGCAATAGATAAGTTACAGTGTATAACCATGTTTGACATGTGAATTGCGACAGGGGTCACTGTTTGAATCGACGATGGTAATAATACAAAATTTTAGATATTGACATTTGTTTTAAATTATACATATTTCTATCAATTTGGGCGCGCCGGTCACCGGTGGCCCCCATGCCGTCACCGCCAAGTTAAGTGCCGGTCACCGGTGACCCCCGTGGCATTCAACGTGTTAAATAGCTCGTAACGTTTCATGGATACGCCAGTAAATGTGTCTGCGGACTGTCGACGACTCGAGGTTGACACCGGTATCGGCGGTACAGAGCTTCGTTTATTTCCAGCTGCATCCGTTGCTTGGCTACCGCTGATGTAAACAAGATGCGTTTCTTCTCTGGTCACTGCTCAAGCGCGACTCTGCGTACGATTGTTCGAAAGTGTACAGTGTTAGACTTCGAATATTTGATCGGTTACGACGTACATTCTTTATCCATCATTGGCACACGCTAAAAATAAATCATTTCTGGCCAGAATTTATCGAATGTACCGACATTACAATACTGTTGCTTCGAATAAAATACAATAAGCTTCGAGTGTTCCATCGTATAGTATGCACAATGGAGGTTTAACTATTCCGTATCCATTTTTTATGCACCCTGAAAATAAATAATTCTCATCGAAACTCTATCGAATATATTAGCGAGGAACGTTATTTCCGTCGAACGTCGATGTCGGTAAAAGTGTTCGCTCTTGGAAGGTTTCGCTATATCCGATAGCTGCTCTTCATCCATTGTTGGTAGAAAATAAAAGTCGAATGACTCCTGGCTCGACTTGTGAATTGCAGGAGCATCGAAGATGCTTTCGGAAGACGATAAGTCGTACGAGGAACGTTTATCTTTTGCATTCCGAAGCTTGATATGATATTTCTACCGATATATGAGCCGTTTATTTTGAAAGTGGCATAAGTCATTTTACCGTAATGAAAAGTGGTGATTTTTTAATGTTTATACGAAATTATTTATACCGAGAAAAATATCAGTATCCTGAGATAACAAATACAAGTAAATCTTCTCGAAAGTTAGCATCCATATTTTTAAACGTGTTGAAACGCAAACCCTTAAATATATCGACTTAAAAACAAAGTGACTTATGCCACTTTCAAAATAAAAAAACGGCTCATATGTGTATACATATACATATATTATATTATAATATACCAAAGGTTGAATTGAAATAAAAATTATTATACCGCTGTGAAATTTTATAAGAATTAATAAATAAAATGTTGTGTGCTTTTATTTGCGTATTCGACATGATCACCTTAAATTATTAATAATTTAGTGCCGTGCTGGCGGCGACGTTGGAATGCAAAACGTTAAGAATAACTGGAAAGATTGGAAGCGCAAATAAATGACGGCCGTGTTCCTGATTGTGTTACAGGGTGTTTGTTGGATAATTCGGCGCCGCGGGGGCCACCCGATGTGCCTCCCCGTAACCCTACAATGAGTCGAGTCAACGGAAGATTGCCAGGAAGTCACGCAGCCAGCGACCACGAGCGTGATCCCGACCTCCAGCCGTCCTGTCTCGTACGCACCTCATCCGGTGGCTTCTACAGTATACCAAGTAAGTCTTCAAGGGTGGCTCGATCCGACGTATGGGGTGTTTCCACTGATTATTATTCATTGGGCCTGTCGCCGCCCCTCGATCCTCGGGGGGGGGGGAGGAAGACACTTGGACGTCTTCGGTGACGGCTCGTATTTAGTTTCTGATCAAAGTTGCGCCATTCGTTGCAAACATAGAACGCTGGATAAAATACAGCAACTATTTCCAACAATTTCACAACACGAACGGTGAACCATGGTGGTACGGGGATAAGAATCTAAAACGAGAAATTATGACAACGATAAATAGATGCAGATCAGGTCACTACGACCTGGCATATTCTCACTCGCGCGAATAGGCATTGCAAACAACCCGAAATGTCAATGTGGGCGTGGAAGACAGGACATTGACCACGTACTGTGGCAATGCTCGTTACTCGGAAATCAGAGAACCACCCTCATTAGAAAATTATATAAAATGAAATGCTCGCTCCCATTGTCATACAACAATACTTTGTAAACCGACGGTAGAAATTTGTCCGCTCGTTTCTAAAAAGCTGCGAACCATCTGTCTGAAATAATGTGTAAAAATATGTAACTTCGACAACATTTTGTACGTTCGATGTAATGCAAAATATCATCCGAAGGGAGATTAAAATTGCTCCAAGTAGAAAAGAAAGAAATGCAATCCGAGCAGGTGCTCTCTGCGAATTGACTTTGTCGGAATAAATGCAACAAAAAGAAAAAAACAACGGATGATTATCGTGGTCGCTCCGCGTCAGCTTGTATGAAATTCGTAATATTTTTGGTAGATAATGTCGCCGGAACATCGCCGATCAGACAGCGTCAAGCAGAAATATAAATATCCCGGGGCAAACTGTCGGGAAGAGCGGCCGACGTTCGACGAGCCAAATTGAAAGGAAAAACATTTCCTGGGGGAAAGTCAGTCCCGCCTTCTCGGAGGGGGTGTGTCCGGAGTGGCGATAACGCGCGGCGCGGCCGACAGTGGTTTATCAAGGACAGCGCCTAAGAATGCTTAATGCGTGGGCGAGCGAGTGACGTCCCGACAAGGGTAGCGCCGTAATCAGTGGCAGCGGCAGCCGATGCGATGGTGTGGGCGGGGGTCAGATAATTTTCTAAGAGTTCCCCCGCTATCTTATCGGCCGGGACTTTCGGGCAGAAAAACTTTCGCTTGCTAAATGTCTCCACGTTTTCGTGTAGACTCGACCTCGTTGTTTGCGGGCGCTATCGCCGGGAAACAAGCTGACCCGGGCAACGTTCGCACAAAGATACATATTCAATGAATTTTCGTGTCTCGCATTTCACGTCGCCGCGTTTGGAGGGATTCTAGATCAAAACAGTTCTGTCCGATGGTCTCGGTAGGATAGCGATACACCATGGTATCAATATACCATGACTTCTATTCAGTTGGCATTATCCCTAACATAAGACCAATGAAATTCAGCATGAATGCCTTCTCCTGCCTAGCTAGATTTGAGTAAATAATAACAAAATCATCAAATTTGCGAGGATTCGATTAAAAATGTTCGCAACCCACAAAACTAATCTCAATTTTAAATTGAAATTTATTCTGTCAATGATACCTCTATATAATTTGTCGGAACAATTTCTTACTAAAACTGACTACATCTGTAATACTAACGACATTACGATATCGAATCTGTCAATAGGGCAAATCGCGATTCCGCTCGGCATAAGCTCCGCACCGAAATCTCTGGAAGCCCGTCAGCGAATTCAAATTTCCTGCATTCCGGCGTTGCGTTTCCGTCCGAGAATTGGTCCGATTCGATCTTCCAGCGAAAGAAAGCATTTCCATTGATCCGAAAAGTTGAAAAGTAGAAAACTACTCCGTGGAGAACACTGGGGAATCTTTCAAACGGGACACTCGAATTTACCGGGAACGATAACCGACGAAATTCTTGGTGAGTCGCGGCGGTCGTGCCAGCGGGTCGAATGCACTCGAGAGAAGAAAAGCACGCTCTAGAACAGCGCTTTCCCGGGACACTTTAGCACCATGGGTGTATCGACGCCAGAGAAAACAACGTGGCCGACCTTTTCCAATGGCTCGAGTAGCTGCCCGTGTTCCACGCGAGAGACGAGAGAAACGAGAGAGAGAGACGAGAGAGAAGCACGGCCGATGGCACAAGCACCCTTAGACAACCGTGGACAAGTTCTTTTCTTGTTTGGCTTCGTGTGCAACTCGGAGGCTCGAGGAAATTTTCCACGGTCCTCGGGAAACCGTGCACCAGGCGCCGGAAAACTGCTCCTTGCCAGCCCCGGCCATCTGTATACTTAGCGTTCTTTCACGCGAAAGCCTTGCGCCACTTCAAAGACCACCATCCTTTCGAAACCGTGGGACAAGACCGCTCGAACCGTGATTTATGATCTCTCGACTCATTGACCCTTGGTTATGACACCCAAGGCTCTAAGCTCATAACCTCTCGCAGAATACCACGGCCACGCCTAAAGGCCGAGTCCCGAACAGACCACTACCATCGCGTATCACCATCACCACCACCACCACCACCATCACCACCGAACGATCACGCTCGACACTTCGGCCAGGCGACAATCCCTGCGTCGCTTTTTCCTCGCTGGCTCGAACTTGTTCTACTATATCTGCCGCGTCTACATTCTTTGCATTCTTCCGCCTCGGCTCCATTCTTGCCTGACTTCCTGCGAGGCAAGCTGTCCGCCCGATCTTTACTGCCTTGAGGTAATCATTTATCCGTTCGACTGCTGAACCTGCAATCTTGTTGCTTAGCCGCTCCACCCGTAATACAATCTTCGAACGTTTCTCTGCACGCGCTTCCGACAGAACGATTTTTATGAACGTCTGCGCGACGTTTCTAATTCGACGTACACGCGGTCGATTAAACCGTTCCGACGTGAAACAAATTCGGTCGAGGTTTTACGGAGTCGTACAACGAACCACTGATTGTGTCTCCATTTTCTATTCGCTCTTCGACAATGAACTATTATTGCGCTATTGTCACAGATCGAGCTTTTACTCGCGCCTTATCAGTGGAGGAAAATCAGTGAATTTTTTAGAGAAATTCCGCCTTTCAAAAAAAGCATTTAATATTTGCCAAACGACGATAAGATTTTCAGAACAATTAAATAACAAAGATTTTTAGGATTTCACAAAAGTATCCTTTCAAACATACATACAACGTAGTTAAAGAAAATTACAATTTTTAGAATGGTATTTAACCTTTTACAGAGTCTGATACTGTATATACAGGGTGTCCCAAAAATGTCTCGCAATCCGAAAGTGGCGGATTCCTCAGGCCATTTGAAGCAACTTTTTCCTTTACAAAAATTTTCTCCGAGGCACCGTTAACGAGTTATTAACGAAAAACAGTGACCAATGAGAGGTGAGATATGCTGGCGCAAGGTGGCCGAGCCAATGAGCGGAACTTGGTTTCGACTGCTCGTTGACTCGGTCGCCTCGCGCCAGCCAAGCTCGCGTGAGCCAACGGCACCAGCGGTCGAGCGGTCGAATCCCAGCTCAGCTGGCGCGAGGCGGCCGAGCCAACGGCGCCAGCGGTCGAGCGGTCGAATCCCAGCTCAGCTGGCGCGAGGCGGCCGAGCCAACGGCGCCAGCGGTCGAGCGGTCGAATCCCAGCTCAGCTGGCGCGAGGCGGCCGAGCCAACGGCGCCAGCGGTCGAGCGGTCGAATTCCAGTTCCGCGCCGATTGGCTCGGCCGCCTAGCGATAGACGAGCTCGCCTCTCATTAGTCAGTGTTTTTCGTTACTAATTCGTAAACAAAGCCGCGGGTTGCATTTTCGCTAAAGAAAAAGTTACTTTAAATGATCCCAGAAACTTCTCATTTCCGGTTTACGAGACATTTTTGGGACATCCTGTATATTTGTTACTATTTCAACGATATCTACAAATTTGTACAATGAGAAGTAGTCAAAATTGATAATACATTAACAATTTTTACTACGGAGCCTTGTACGCAAACGCGTATCAAAATGAGCTCAGCTGGCGCGAGGCGATCGAGCCAAATGAGCGGAACTGGGCTTCGTGCGCTGGTTGGCTGGACCGCCTCTCATCAGCCGTACTCGATTCTTATTGGTCACCGTTTTTTGTTCATAACTCGTTAACGGTGCCTCGAAGAAAATTTTTGTAAAGAAAGAAGTTGCTTCAAATGATCCGAGGAACCCGCCATTTCCGGATTGCGAGACATTTTTGGGACACCCTGTAGACTGTTGTAAATCGATGTGAAGACAAAAGAAGTGTGAAACAATGCATATGAAGACGATTATTTGATTCAAAAGATGCGCGAGTGAGCTACTAGAGCAAGCCACTATAGTGGCGCGTCATCCAGAGAGATAACATTCGCGAAAGCCACTGTAGTGGCGTGTCGTTCTGAAAGATGACATCCGCGAAAGCCATAGTGGCGCGTCGTGCCTAAAAGGTTAATATCTCTCTCGCACATAGTGTTTTAAGATATTACTCTTAATTGTTCGAAAGAGATAGACTTCGTCGTCCTAAAGATGATTCGAGCCTTGCTGTATCGCCGATCGATAGATCAGCTATCGAATCTTCCAAGCGACGGTCGCTTTACGGTGTGTTCCCGCTTCGAAGAGGAAATTTCGAGGACAAGTTTTTGGCGAACGGTTCTGTCGGAGCGAACTGCTTAGAGTATACGTAGAGGATGGGCGAGGTCCCTTCTCAGGCTCGCGGAACCGTGAAAACGGTAAATCACGGTCGGACTCGGTCATTAAAACCAATTCGGACACGCTAACCATAGACATAATCCCAGGTGATTCGAGTTTTCGAACGCATTAGTCGTCTCGTGCGGGCCGTCGTTCCGAAAAAAAGAGGCAAAACGCGGGGCAGCAGCCCGGGGATCTCGGTAATCACGGATATCTGCCTAAACGCCGTAATCATCGGATTTTGGAGCCGAACGACCCCGGCAATACCTGCAATTAGCGGCATGGGGTCCGCTTTCACGGGTCCAGGACTCTTCCCACGCTCCGCTCCGGTTTCATACTCGGCCGGGTGCCGGGTACAGGGTACATGTAGCGGGTGAAGGGTGAACCAGCGGATTCTGTTGAATGGAAGACAAAGGGCCGGGTGTCGAGAGTAGTGCGGCGATCCCTTTACCTGTTCTTCCTATCAAAATCGACGGGGATGGCGGACGGAACGATTTTCATGCGGCCAGTTCTGCGGAACCAGCGCCGCCGATGTTCTTTCGATGATCCATGAAAGATGAAAGTTCAGGATATTCCTTTGTGGCCGCGTTCCTTGACGAAATTTCTCGGGGAACGTTGGACAGCTCTCTCTCTCTCTCTCTCTCTCTCTCTCTATCTATCTATCTTTCTATCTATCTATCTATCTATCTATCTATCTTTATTGCTCTCTATCTCTCTCATCCACCCCCTTCGATCCGATATTATATGGAGTTGCGCACGGCGAGGAGCCGCGCCGCACCGCCTAAAAGAAAGGGGATCAGAACTCGCGTCTCCTATGGTGCTCACTAAATTGAATAAAAACGCTCGGCAAATATTCTCGAAAAATGCACTCGAGGAGAGTGCAGTCCTCTCCGTTTTTAATCTCTACCCTGGCGTTTTTATCTTTCATTTTTATTCCACGACCGAATGGTATTATTAACTACAATTTTTAATCTGAAAAGAGAGAGTAAACACAGAGCGTTTCTCGATTGATAATTCTCTTGGATCCGCTTTGTTTGCATCGTTCAAGCGCTATGTTACCGTCTCGTTATTAGACTGCGGGTCTTCGACGGGATGAACGTGTACAATATCAACTGCAAGCCGTTGGAATCACGTAGTTTTCGTTTACATCTGAAACACAGTCAAGTTGTAGATGACTAAATTATCAGGTCTATCGAAAAGTCCTGTCCGATAATTTCATTTCAAGTTTCAATATGCATGCACATGTTCATTCGAGGCATATATTCTTCGAAAATGGTATTTACAAGTTGCCATCACGCTGACAGGAGGCCATAGGTGACGACGAAAATTATATTGTATAATAAATATTATTGAACGTGTAAAGAATTTATCATTTTCTTTCACTTCACAAACGGACAGGACCTTTCGATAGATCTAGTATCTTAACCCTTTGCACTCGAGTGGTGACTTTGAGGCACCATTAAAATTTGTTACATCACGTTCTAAGACAATTCTTATATTAACAAAATTTAGATCTAAATAATTGTTAAGGGCGTAACTGTTGCGCGAGTCACAAGAGCCAATTTCATATGCATAAAATGTACTTTGTGGTATAAAATAAAAATACTGTAAGCCAGAAAAATTATTCTAGATTTACAGTTGAAATAGCTTCGAGTGCAAAGGGTTAAACGCGATGTCGCTTGTTTTGCTGCAGATCGTGATAAGCCCTATTTTATGCTGCCATCGCTATTAGCAAACCTCCTGCTTGTTTATGATCGCAGTGGAAGTTGAAGATGGCCAGGTTGTGTAAAAGATATCTCGTGGCTTCCTTCAGATTCCAATAAATCGCTCGTTACACTCGGTATCCAATCATCCAATCACCGTATATTTCACGTTCGAACTGACTCGAAACGTTTAAACGAATAATCGCGAAGCGATTCGTTTGTTCTATTCGAAAGTTGAAAGACAACCCGTGCACGAGCCAGCCAGTCCCGACGGCGTATCAATTATGAATCAACAGCTACGCGCGTCTTATTTCAGTTGGCCGAGGTGGCAAGAACAAAATTGAATCGAGCCGGAATCTGTTGAAAAAAAAAGAACAGGGAACTTGGGATCGATTACCGGCGCGGCAGAAAAACCGCCGTCGATTTCACGGCGGGGGCGAGGAAGCGAAGAAACGAAGAAGCGTGGTGCTGGCTGGGGGATCTTACGGTGTTTCCTTGAGGTGTTCAGTTTTCATCGTGCACCTTGCGGTTCGGTCGCTTGAAATTCAAACCGAAACCACGATGAATCATGTACTTATCGATTCAACACGGGCCTCGTTCGCCGTCTCGCTTCTTCCTCTTTTCCCGCCTCGTTCCACTATCCCGGGGACTATGTTCAAAAGAAAAGGCGTCGCGTCTGGCATCGCAAAACGCGGATCAGAAAAACTCGACTGTTGCTTCGTTCATTTTCCTCCATCCCTCCGCTCTGTTCCGGTGGCCTTTAATTATGTGTTCCCTCGTCCCGGCAATTAGAAATCCAGTAACGAAATACGTCGAAACATGTGATGCAATTAGGCCCTTCCCTCCATTGTCTCGTTGCTTCGTTTATCGCGACGCGGCTCAATCTTCTTCGACCAACTACCGGTCTTTGGATTCGTAGGTCGATTATTCTTCGGATATTTCTGTTGGAAAGCGGTGGAACAATTGGTCTATCGACTCTCGGTTGGATATTTTTAACCCTTTGCGCTCGAGCGGCGACACTGAGGCGCGACTAAAAATTGTTATATCGTTTTTCGAAATAATTGTAACAGTACTATATTCGTTTATATTTTTTTTAAAAAACTGTTAAAATTGCAACTATTGTACTTACCAATAGGCTGAATTTCATATGCATAATAGTAATAAATAATAAATAATAAATCATATGAAATGGAAATACTGTAGATCAGAAAACATCTTTTGGATCTCGAATTGAAATAGCTTCGATTGCAAAGGGTTAATTTCTTAATACAACGTATACCGATTCGAACGACAGTTTAGAGAAGGAATGAGTAAGGAGGCACGCGGTTCCTAACGCCTAGCCAATCCCCACTCCTTTCCAGGAGGCACATATTACGCAGTTAGCATATTTGGTACACTTAATACGACGTATACTGATTTGAACGACAGTTTACAAAAGGAATGAGTCAGGAAGCACGCGGTTCCTAACGCATAGCCAATCCCCTCTTCTTTCCAGGAAGTACATTATTACGTAGTCAGCATACTTGTTACACTGAAACACTAACTAATGCAGCTGATTGATTAATGCGGGTTTCAGCAATTTCTCCGGGATATTATAATATATATATATATATATTATATTATAATATAATATATTAATTTATAATATATAACATATAATATAATATATATAATATATTATAATTTAATATATTATATATTATATATTAATATATTATATTATAATATAATTAGTAGATATTATAATATATTTCGCCACATTTCATGGCGAACCACGGTGGAACAAGTATTAACCCTTTGCGCCGTGATTTTTCTCATAACTGTAACGATTAGAACTTTTTTCGTCCCCGATACCCTTCTGGTGCAACAAAGAAATTGCTTCGATTTAAAACGTTCATTGCGTGTTTGACTCGACGATACACGTATAGCGTGTACACGTGTATGCATACGGTGTCGAAGAGAAATTATATGAAACTTGGACGACGTGTTTGCAAGTTCGTACTTGAAATGTGCTCGAAAACGGCGTCGAACGGTGCGACGCTCTCAGGAATGCTCGCAGCTCCGGATCGGAGCTGCTTTGAATCTATTCCATTATTGAATCTATTCCACGTGCAATTGTATTCCAATGAAACGCTGCATTATTAACGGCCGAAAATATGTCGGATTCAAGGCCGAACGAGTTCCATCCAGCGTAGCTGCGCGGCAAACGGCGTCGTAACCTCGGAACCGTGGACGTGTAGACGCGCGAATGAATTATTTGGTTGGAGCGGCGAAGGGCGAAGATATTACACGTGTAGGACGCGGATAAAAGCCGAGGGAGGGAAAATAGGGCGGCGTTTCCCACGAGAAATTACGTCGATTTCGCGAACGCAAGGAACTCCCTTCTACATGATTCCGTTCTCTCTTTTTCAGAGATACCCAAGAATGAGTACAACAACAAGAACCAGTCCACGGGGGATAGTCCAATAAAGGTCGAGCTGCAGACCAACATGGACAGGTAAGCCTATTTCACGTTTCTGGCAATAACCCTATTGGCCGTTGAAAAATCGCTGAGCGAGGAAAGTCTGGAATGGAGAAACTCGTGGAAGTTTTTCGATGAAACGAAGTAAACGCTGGAACGTACCGTGACACAGCGTCGGCTTCTTCTTCTTCGACGGCTTGGGTGTTGACGAGGGTGCACAGCACACACTGCACACGCACTCGGTGTCCAGTGAATCATCCATTCAGAGGTGCACAATGAGTCAATGTTTGAAGGCGGAATGTCATCGATTGACAAACGCTTTTTGTCCACGAGACACCGTGAAAAATCGCGTCTACAGAATTCATGGCCGCGCTCGAGAGCGCGCTCGAAATTCGCTAAACGCGCCCGAGCTTTTGGCTCCGGAATCGCTGCGGGAATTCCTCTCGAGGACCACCATTCTGTGCCTTCTGCACTCGACCGTGGCTTTCTGGATTTCGGAATTGTCAAGGTCACGGGACATTGTCGCTGCAGTCTATCCAACTCCGTGTAAACGGCGTCTCGACAATGGCAGGCCAAAATGTTACTACAAGCTTGATTCAGTGATTACGATGCGGCTGTGGACCGCGCGTCGTGTCTTGTCTGGCCGCGTTATCTTTAACACTAGAAGCATCGAATCGAATCGCATCGCAGTTTTCATTTTTCTTTTACGAAAATTGTAAGAATGTTTCTCTATTATACAGGGTGTCCTAGGTTTTAATGTTCAAACTTTGTCAGTATATTCTATGGTACAAAGTAAGAAAAAATGTTACGTAAACATAGGTCATATACAGCTTTATTAAGAAGTTATAACAAAAATTCAGAATAGGAATAGTAATCAACTAAAAAAAAAATAAAAAATAAAAAAAAATCTTCGACCGATGTCAATCATGTATTGTCAACAACGGTTATTAATACATTTCGAAATGTATTAATAAACACAGCTTACATAAACACACGACATGTACTGATCTATTCAAGCCAATGCTCGCAGTAACAGCAAGTCGATTACTATTCCTATTCTGAATTTTTGTTATAACTTCTTAATAAAGCTCTATATGACCTATGTTTACATAACATTTTTTTCTTACTTTGTGCCATAGAATACACTGTCAAAGTTTGAACATTAAATCCTGGGACACCTTGTATATGATAGCTTTGACGAGACGTTAGCGAATTTTACGCATTTGTCGCTAAAAATAAGAAGATCGAATACGAAACAAAAAAGCTTGCAGAAGAATACTGACACATTCTGGCATCTTGATATAGAATGTATGTATACTTGTTGAAAATTTCATCGACGTCGAGATACAGACGTTGAAAGATCAATCACGAGATCTCTCACAGATTTTGGTCGAAAGTCTAGGAAAACTGCGATTTCCGCCGCCTTTAATTGTTTGTAACTCGTAACAACGTCGACCGATTTCGATAAAATTTTCTTGTCTTTTGTCTTTCTAAGCGATAGCAAATTTGAAAAAAAGAAATGTATTCTATTCATCGCACAGTAAGCCACATCCTCGTCTCAATAAACATCTCGATGAAAGTTCAAGCAATTTGGTCCAGTTACCGGTGAAATTTCCCGCATGCGAAGGGTTAACCCTTTCAGTGCTGCCGCAGACTAAAATGAAGAAGTACGGTCAAAGAAATATCTGCTTTGGACTAGATTATTTTTACGACTTCACGTCGTGTTTATATTCGAATCAGTGCGGTTCTTGTACCGCGTACGGACTAAATGTTGAAAGGGTTAACAATCGCGGTTAGAGCAGCGAACTGTTACGACTAACTCGTTGATCAGGGAATTCGGGGACCGACCGAGGATTGCCGAGGGGATCAGAGCCACGGCCCGAGAGGATTTCGTGTGATTTTTCGGACGGACGGAATAGGAAAGTGGAGAAAGACCTCCGCGAAGACGGTCGGCCGCGGCTGGCTTTCGTTTTCCATTATCGCGTCATGCAACGAAAGCAAACAGCCGGGCCAGCGCACTCCTGAACCGGCCATCCCGTTTAAATATTTTTGTTAGACATTTCTGAGTTACTCGGAAGCGACCGACGTTCAGTATAAACATACTCTCCGGGGCCTGTGTGCTCGCGTGGAAGCCCACGGCGCGGCTCGGCGCGGCTCGGCGCGGCACGGACAAATATATTCCCTCCTGCCTCCTGTATCACACGGCCCGCAGCGCCTGCCTTCCGCCTCGCTTTCGAATCGGCATTACGCTCGCACCAGTTCGCGAACACTTTGGAAAATCGTGTTCGATCGTCTGGATCGGTAATACCGATTCGCAATCGATCCGCCGATTCTTCGGTGACAAATTGATTTTTCATTCGGCAATATTACCCGCGAACGTTTGCAAAACCTTCGCCAAATATTATCTTTCGGGATCGCCTGTTAACCGGAACTCAAGCTAGACGAATGCTGACTATTTCCAGGGTACCCTTACCCTACGGCCACGCGCCCTCGATGATCCCAATGAGAAGACAGAGCATCCGTTGCCATTTCGTCAAAGGTGTCGATTGGTGCACCTGGAAGTTGATCGCTATGATTCTCCTCATAATCTCGGTGTGCATAACGTCGGTGCTGGCCTACGTTGTTGGTAAGTCCTCTTTTCATTCATATCACAATATCTGTCAATTTTAGTCCATATATATATAAATAATAATATAATATGATTATATTATGTGTGATGTATATTTTGTAAATCTACAAGGATAGATTGCATGCTACCAACGTTCCTCCGAAACTCAACACCTAATCTAATATCTATTGCACTTGGGAATGTGCTTTCCTACGCAACTAATAATTCGGAATTCATTTCGTTTTGTCCATCACCGAAAGAAACGTTCTTGTACATTTGTTTCAATCTTGAATCCTTCCGAGACTCCACTAACACTAAAATGCATCCAATTGAAAACTAACTGTTTTATCTAGTCAAGTGTTCGCGTAAGCTAATTTGTACAAGCCTAACCGTAACTTCCGCACAGATCGTTGGTTACCGTGCAAGTCTTTTATAGACTACAATTGGTCGAAAACAATGTTACAAATATTTTTGAAACAGCCCCTTTAGAAGATTAATGAACGAAGAATAAAAATAACCAAAATAATCGTGCGGGTAGATCCATCTCAACCCTTAGGCCGTGACCACACGGATGTTCTTCGGCGTTTCTCAGGCGTCAGTCGATCGAACTATACCGCGTTAAACAGAGAGCTTGCACAAAATGTAAACAGAACGTTCACGTGACTCCCGCATGCGGAGTGGCCTTATGTAGAAAGGGCCGAAAAATTGTGTTTCGGCCCTGGCCCGATTACATTTTGTGCCAGTCCTCGTTGAAAGTAGTATAGTAATTTCTCCCTAATTCGCGCTCAGACTGTGCACAAAAATGGACAATTTGGAAAGCTCGTCTCGTTTTTATAGTTGTTGTCAATCGGTAACTATAAAAAACGAGCTACAAGGTTCGAATAATCGCATCTCCTTTTCCCAAATTGTCCATTCTTGCGCGCAATCCGAGCGCGAATTAGGAAGAAATTATTGTACAAGTTTGACGGAATAGAATAGCCGGCAATCGCAATTCAAATTTTCAAATTAGGCGGCCAAACAATGGCATACTGTGGATCGTTCCGATTAAACGTAGGTTAATTATGAATGAATTTGTTCGATTGCAGTGTCGAGCATAGTGACCCCGTCGTACCAGAACTCGAAAACATGCACGGTGATGGTCGGCGACAACGCGGACACGAAAATGCTGTCGACCGAGGCGAACAAGACGTCCTCGACAGCGATCTCGACGTCGTCGCAGTCCGGCAACCGGAAGGGGCAGCAGACGTCCTCAGGAGGTAGTATTAACCCACCGGCTAGCATGCTAGAGCACGCGCACATCCGTAATCGTAGGGACACCTTTAACCAGCATGCGTTGCACCAAACTGTCGCATCCCCTAAACACCTCGAAGAGTCGCCTTCGACAGAGGTCGAAGCCTCCGAGCGACGAACGACCTCGTCGGACGAGGATCGTTCCGGTAAGGTTGTTGTGCATGAGACTGCGGTCGCCGATGATCCCCGGGTGAAGGACAACGACGTCAACGATGGGAGAACGTTCGGAGGAGATCGGTCGGGATCGACCGATCCTTCGGGGACGACTGTCCCGAGCGTCTCCGACTCTTCGATCGCTGACTACGCGCACGATTCGGCTCCCACCACTGTCTTCGTAGATCCTACCTCTGTTGCTTCCGACCGTTTTTCCGCGTCTTCGTCATCCTCAGCCCCCACCTTACCCTCCGATTCGTCCAACGAGCCGACAAGGCTGTCTTCGGAGGCCTGGACCAGCGAGGATACGTCTACCACCGGTGCCAACACCGATCCAGTTACCACCGAAGATCCCGAAGCCCCTTCGACCACCGTGTCCTGGTCCGTTGTTTCCACGAGCAGCGAGAGTTTCGAAGACTCGGAGGAAAGTGCCGGCACGACGGAGGACTTTACAACCACCGAATCCGACCGGAGTTCCACCGGATTCTCGAGCACCAATGAGAATCTATCGTTCGCCGATTCCTCGGAAGCGGCGAAGAAGCTCCGAAGCTCGGAGAACGAGGGCGAAATCGAGAGCGAAAGCGGCGAAGACGAAGCGCGAAATCACGCCAGTTTCTCCGGGGTGGTGAAGGAGATCCGGGAACTCTCGAGGGAGGATTCTTCCTCGGAGTCTGGGCCGTCTAGTCACGCGAGCAGCGAAAAATCTGAGGAGCCTCAGCGGGACTACCCTCTGCCGATCTATAACTACGGGCAAGAGGAGGTGGAGATCGTGAAACTGAATCAGAAGGGCTCGGACAGCAAGCAGCAGGATTTCGAGGCGATGAACGTGCCACGCGTCGCCCATAAAGCTAGCGACATGCGAGTGATAACCAGAGAGGACGAGGAGTTTCTGAGAGAGTTCGAGAAGAAGTTCAGGGAGCAGTCCGGCGAGGCTGACAAGGTCGAAGAGCCCAAGGAACCTGAAACGAAGCCCGTGGTGCAGCGGGTCGAGATCGTCGAGGTGCCCGTCCAGAAACGTCCCGAATCCTCTCCCTCTTCCTCTTCTCCTTCCTTTTCCTCTTCGTCTTCCTCTTCGTCTTCGTCTTCGTCTTCGTCTTCTCGGGTGCTTGTCAACATAACGATCGCTTCCGGGGACCCCGCTGTTTCGAAACCGCTTTACGTGTTGTCCGTCTCGGTGCCCACCGGCTCCGAGTCCACCGACGTGAACGTACACCAAACGGAGCTGCACGAGAATGTTCGAGAAGCACTCACGAAGACTGCTGGTAGCTCGGCGTCGCGGGAAAACGATAACAGGCTGCCTCCGCCGCCGCAGCCACCATCTTCGCCGCCGCCGCAGCCGCCCGTTTGGTCAGGCGGGGAATGCGAATGCTCCTGTCCCTGCATGGGCTCGTCCTCCGACGAGTGGGACAACTTTTCAGGCATCGACGAGACTCCGATTTTATACCCGGACAACCATAATCGCTCGGTGGACGAAGAGTCGCTGGATCAACCGTTCGAAGTTGACGAAACCCAGATGGCGACACGGAAGGATAAAGAAGCTTCGACCGAGGAGTCGGTAAGCACCAGCTCCGAGAATTATACGGATGCTACCGAAGATTATCGAGAGTCCACGGAGTCGGCCATCGCCAGCTACGAGACCCAGAGTACCGTATCCGAGTGCTCCGGGAATACCCCGTTACCCCCTGTACCCACTATACTGATCTTGGAAGGTGAGGCCCCGTTTTTCGAAGGATCATTTTTCTCTCTGCTCTGTGACTGGTCTATTGTCTTCCTAACACGGTGTTTTCGGTTTCTGCTAACCACTTTTTTTGATCGCTATGCTCGCTTCTTCTATGCTTGAGTCTTAGCACTGCGGTGCAGTGGTCCAAGAAAGTTTGTGCCAACAGTATTATTTTTTCGTCGAAGCAGTTTCCAATCTTGTCATTAAAAAAGGCAGAGAAACTTTCTTTTTCCACCGAGTGTGTTGCTGCTCGTCGTCGTTGCTCGCACAACCTAAGTAGTTAGTCTAACCGTGGGATGGTTGGTTAACGGTGCATCATGGTACCAGTGTAATCGAGAAACTGTTCGATAAGTATAGCTGTAGTTCAGAGATTCAAGTATCGCTCGTTCATCGCCGTTCTCTCAAGTGAACCGAGAAAATTGCGGATGAGAATGCAGATACCTAGAAGATACATAATTTAGACGCTCGCCTAAATTAGACTCGTGCGAGAAGAATAAAACGGTGGCAATTAACGCGGTTCGCCGATGCGAGCGGACGCGTGCCCGAAAAAGAAAATACAGGAAATTCGCTGCCGCGCGCAAAGCCTAGCAATTTTTTGATATCTATATTTCGTATCGTCAAAGAGAAGTTCAGTTTTCGTGGAGGGGCCAGGTGCGCAATTAATATTAACGTCAAGTAATTGGCTTGTACAACCGACAGAGAAACGAGTTTGCACTTTAACGAATATTAAACGAACACGTAGCGTGCCTCCCCGTAGAAAACTGGTCCTCTGCGAGCAAAAAAAAAGAAAAGGGGTATGTCGTGCTGAAAGCTTGTCTGCCCCCAATTATTCAGGTGCGAGAACTTTTCCTGCCATGTCGTTCCCACCCGACGGGACGACTTTCGCCCAAATCAACTTGGGAGAGAAGCTAAGCAAGGAAATTCCGCCGTACAGCTACTGGAACATGCAATTCTACCAGTCGGAGGCCGCGTACGTGAGGTTCGACTACAATATCCCTCGGGGAGCGAGTATCGGTGTCTACGCCCGGAGGACCGCTCTACCCACGCACACGCAGTACGATCTCCTGGAGGTGTTGAGCGGCTTCAAAGCCAGGACCACCAGGGCGTCCCATGTTAGTGTTATTGTATGTGCCACTGCCCCATTTTACTTTCTTTCTCTAGCTCGTAGGCGCGTCGCGTCGTCTCATCAATTTTTCCGCGCCTACCCTGCACGATCTCTTCTAATTCCCCGCCCTGCCCTGCCAGCTCGAAATGCTCTCTTCGCTTTAAAGCTCAACTACCGTAGCCTTTATATTTTCCAAATTTTCGAACAAGAGACAACGTGGAATCATTTTCATTCGGACCGTGGCATAGTTCTATTCGCCTGTGTGGTGTTTCTGATTAAAATTTCATAAGCCGTCCTTTCATCTGTTTGGTAAAAATATCGCTAATCCTGCAGTTTTCGTCTCGTTGCCTAAATTTCTTTGATTTCACGAACGCGTACGGGCGTGAGTACGGCAAAAGAAACGGAAGTCGAATAAAAATGTATAACCTCGTTTCATCGTTTTAACGAGCTCATTTGATAACAGCATCCGACGATGCTGCCAGTTTTCTTTTTTGTTCACCGTGCCTTTATCCTCGGATTTTATCGTAAACGCGTAAAGTTCGCAGTCTATCATTAACTAACAGTCTGCATCGACTTGTCTCACAAATCGTGGCAACATAAATTCAGATCGACCAGGATGAACGCGGTGGAATCGATGAGACGACTCGACAGACAGAAAATCGTCGTGTCTCCGACTCTGCGAATCGAGTTGCTCAACGTGCTACTGCGATTTATGTGATATTTTTTTCTACACGAAAGGAGTAACGAGACACGCTGACGCAGGTTCCAGATACTTCTTTTTTTTTTTAATTCTTTCCCTCGAAGAAGCTACAGTAAAGCGATCGAAGGAGATTGAATTGATATTTAAAAACGTGTCGATCCTCCTGCTCGCAGCCTTCGATCAAGAAAGAGGTGATCAATTACATGGAACCCGGTCACTGGTTCCTCTCGCTGTATAACGACGACGGAGATCCTCAGGAAGTCTCGTTCATAGCTGTAATCGCCGAAGATATGACGCAGAATTGTCCGAACGGATGCAGCGGTAAAGGGGAATGTCTTCTGGGCCACTGCCAGTGCATCCCTGGATTCGGTGGCGAGGACTGCAGCGAGAGTGTTTGCCCTGTTCTATGCAGTCAGCGCGGTGAGTTCGAGTCGGTTTTGTACACATAATCGTAGATTTCGCGTCCCATTCGTTTACACGCGGAAACAAGATCGCTGACAAATCAATCAGTTGATTCTACTGTTAGCAAGACTTTCAACAAATCCTGATCTATGAAAACAAAATTGCTACTATTAACTTTAAATTAAAATTCATTTTGTGTTAATTATACGGAGAAAGCAATACCTACTTGGCGTCGTTGCAAGCAGATCATTATCGAATCATATTCCAGTATTTGAAATTTTGTTATACCGATTTGATTCGTGCAAAGTACGAAATCGTTTTCATCGATTGCCACGAAAAGTAATTACGTTAAAGAGTCTTTCTTTTCCGTGTAATCCGAGCAAGTCGAAAATAGCGGATCGCTCGAGAGAGCGTTTTTGTCAGAAGTGCATCAAATCCGCGATCTAACAATGCTGTCCGAGAGAAATGTTTTTATCGGATAGGTATTTCGCGAATGTTGCACACTTCGCGAACATATTTCAAAGATGAACGTGCAACTAGAAAATTACTTGCTATCGTAAAAAGATTCGAAGCAGGGTCAAAATCCTGATTGATTTTATCCCGACGCATAAAGCGAGGCGCAACGTGATTGGGCGGACGGCCTAAGTACAGCGCGCAGTGATAATTATTTGAAATTTTTCGCTGTCGGATGTTTGAGCTAATTGGTCTGTCCGAACCGTAGGGGAATACATAAACGGAGAGTGCCAATGCAATCCCGGCTGGAAAGGGAAGGAATGCTCGTTGAGACATGACGAATGCGAAGTGCCCGATTGCAACGGGCACGGTCATTGCACTAATGGGAAATGCAATTGCGTGCGTGGCTACAAAGGAAAGTATTGCGAGGAGGTGGACTGTCCTCATCCCACCTGCTCCGGCCACGGTTTCTGCGCGGAGGGCACGTGTATCTGCAAAAAGGGCTGGAAGGGCGCGGATTGCAGTCAAATGGACAAGGAGGCACTACAGTGCCTGCCGGACTGCAGCGGGCATGGAAACTTCGATCTCGAGACGCAGACGTGTCTGTGCGAGCCGATGTGGTCTGGCGATGATTGCTCCAAAGGTAATCGACATTTGATATTCGCAAAACTGACAGTAAGATTCGACGAGGACTTTTAGGATTCCACAAAGGGATTCTTTCAAATATATAACGAAATTTAAAAAATTATATTTTTTAAAAAGCTGTTAATACCCCTCCCGCATATAGTGTGTTAATTACCCAATCGATGACGTTTCCATAGGTCTACAGGCCTTTTTTCGACAAATAATTTAATGAATGCAACAAACAATAATGTTCATTAGGAATCCCTTAGTTAACAATTTAAACGTGGCTAAACTACGTTAATAACTGATATCAAAACTTCTGATGAGAAACGTTTCCAGAAACGTCCTCAATTGTGAAGGACAATTGCAAAGGGTTTCAAAACTAGCATTCTACTTTTGTTAACTGAGAAATTAAAGATGCAGAATTTTCAGTTTTAAACATGTTCGTTACGAACTTTCAACGAGTCTGTTGGTACTTTTAAAGGTGTTCACAATTGTTACTCTTAGAGATGTTCAATCGGTACTTTCAATAACATTCAATCATTGCTTCTCCTTTTTGGTTTTCTGTTAGGACTGCATTCTTTCTGCAAAGATTGCAAGAAGACGCACAAGAAGCGGTGCGACTGACGGTTTCGTTTACTTTTTAGAACTCTGCGACTTGGACTGCGGTCCTCATGGCCACTGCGTGGACAACGCCTGCGACTGTCTGCCAGGATGGTCCGGCGAGTTGTGCAATCTGAAACAGTGCGATCCACGGTGTAACGAGCATGGCCAATGCAAGAACGGAACTTGCTTGTGCGTGACCGGTTGGAATGGCAAACACTGCACCATGGAGGGTTGCCCGAATTCCTGTTCCGGGCACGGCGCGTGCAGGGCAGTCAGCGATGGACAGTGGGAGTGTCGTTGCTACGACGGCTGGGATGGCAAAGATTGCAATGTTCTCGTTGAACAGAATTGCAATGACAATAGAGACAATGATAAAGGTATGAAACACGGGAGCATACTCGCCCCTACTTTCGATCACCATAAGAAAGATGCACTTGTTGTCTCGGCAGAATATAGTTGCAGTTACGTGTTGATGTTTAGGAAATAGGTTGAAACAAGATGAGCAGCGCTCTTATTATAATTAGAAACGAATGACATTCTGAAGAAAGCCTATCAAACGAAGACATGCAGTTCGAATGCAGTTTAAAATAGCTTTTTTGGAGTACGTCGATCGTGCTTGGCTCCGAGCCTCTTCTTCCAAAGTTTCTTTGTTCGGTTTACCTTCTGCACTGTCTAAATCATTGTCGAATATGTTCTGAATCTTAAGAGGTAGAAGGATAGTATCGTTCTAGGATCTAACTGAAATCCTTAATTAAAAATCTAAAAGTTCGCGATGTAATACTGAACGAATATCGAGGAAGTGCATGCATCGTAGATGTCTAAAGAAATATGGCGCCGCAAGGTTCTAAAGCTGACTTAACGAAGCCTCGCATGCACAACTTGTAACGATCTTGTACGTCACGAATCTTCAAAGAATCGCAACGACGGATCTAGTGCAAAGTATCCGATGCAGAAGACTCGATTTCCGATGTCTAAAGCTTTGGTAACCTGTTTGCAGACGGTCTCATAGATTGCGCGGATCCGGAATGTTGCTCGAGTCACTCTTGCATTTCCAGTCAGCTCTGCATGTCGGCTCCGAAACCGATCGATATACTTTTACGAAAGCAGCCGCCGGCCATCACTGCTTCGTTCTTCGAGAGAATGAAGTTCCTGATCGACGAGGGCAGCTTGCAGAGCTACGCCCGCCTGGAGACCTTCAACGAGAGGTGAGTTAATCGTCGCCGGCATGGTCCTCCGATCTGACCAACAATCTCGTTCTACGTCGAACGATCAGTACTCGGTACACCGCGAACGATCGCTGAAAACGATCGGACGGGAACGATCCGCGCACGATCCCCGCGCGATCTGCGTCCGATCGGTGTCTCGTGTCCCGATTTTGATGTTACGTGCAGTCTCTTTACGTGTGTTGAACCAGACACAGTTCGTCCACAGAAACAATACAAATCCGGTGATCACTGACACACCTGGCAGGTCGCATCTGCCCGAGAAGATCGCGTGTCTTGCGGGTCGGTTAAAGGTTTCGCGAGGATTAATCGATCAAAATCTTTAGAAGGTAATAGAGGATACCATGGTATAATCTGAAAATACACTGAAAAGACGAATAGAATTTAAGAATACGTTGCTTTTAAATTGTTACATTAGTAAAAGAAGAAACGACCGTTCGTCGAACTAATATTTTTGTCAAGTTAAACTGCAGTTTCATTATCGAACACATGGTCGACGGCTGCTAAGAGCCCGGCTAAGTATATGAAAAGCTGTACGAAACCGTAGTAGCTCGATAATCTTTAGCTGTCCCAACTAGTACAAGGCACGCGCATACATAACACGGTGTTCCATGAAACATGGCCTAGTAAAGGGTGGATGAAACGTAGCGAAATAAGCTTCGAAACCAAGGAAAACGTTCCAGTCAATTTATCGCGTATTAACCACCTCAGCGATTATTCGGTTGTCCGAGCATGTAAATGGAAAACTAATCAAACTAGAAAGTTTCTAAAGAGATTTCGCGAATCTTTCGTCATTGTTGTCGGTAAAAATTCGAGCTGCCGCGGCCACTTTTCACGAACAACACCACCACACCTCGATCCAAATACGATATACAAAACACAAAGACGTATACATAGATATGATATATTCTCTGCGTTGTTGTGACCCGTGTGAAATCACATCCCAAAAGTTTTCTACATATGTTTGTATGTATGTGTGCGCGAGCGTGTGCCCTGCACTGAGCCCCATCGTCTCCATATCGCTATCTCACTATCATTCTCTTCTTCTTCTTCTTCGTCTTTATCGCTACACCTTCGATATTATCGGTCATTGGTAATATCTACATATTTATATATTTATATATTATACGTACTATCGACAGCCTTTTCGTATACATATTCTTCTTCCTTCCTCACGTGTCCGTCCGAGTGCAGCTTGCGTGAATGTGTGACTCCATGTTCGAGCCTCGAGCTTTGCGCCCATCACACCGATTAGGGAGGGAATTTACGGATACTGGATCGTCTCCTAGCCCAACGATCTTTTACATCTACAGTTTTCTCGGAGTTCCTCGTAACGACTAACCCGCCACTTTCATCTTTACCTTGATCCTTGATAAAATCCACAAAATCAACCGTAGAACGACACTGGGAACAAGACTTTAAATATATTCTCTTCGAAATAAAATAATGATCTTCCGTAGGAAGTTTTTCAAATTGTGCAATAGGCTGTGGAAAAGGAAAATTGCAAATGTTATTTAATGTACAGTGTTCAGCTCCCCACGCGTCTGGGAGTAAATGTCGTTTTATGATCAAGAAGAACCTCTGTTCCTCTGCTCTCGAGAAAAAGTATTCCATCGAACGACGACACAGAATTTTGTTTTCCGGGTATCTTGGTGTACTAAAAGAAGGATACTTTTATTTATTCGTCGAACATTCAAGATCACTTTAAATCTTGTTCTCTACGTGCAAATCTGTCATTAAGTCAAGAATTTCTTCGTTCTCGCTTTAAGAAATTTTCGACAGCCTCTTTGAATTTGATACAGAAACATCGATCATGATCAAGAAACAAAACAAAATACTCCTGTTTTCTGTAACGAATAAGAAAACAGCTTCTAATAACGCCTTTCGATACTTTTTGCCAGAGACCAGTATCTTTCGAACGCCTCTTCGAGAGACGATTCCATCCACATTGTTTCCACTCTAACTCTACAGTCCCAAGCCCATCTTTCAAACTCTCTCTTCTCCGTATAATTTCGCCTTTAATCACATCATTTTTAACTCGGCTCTGTTTTATCCGTGCTGCCCGGTCAGTATGTTCTGGAATCACTTCAATACAAGGTAAGAACGCCACTGCGTCGAGGTAACACTGCCTCGACTAATGTGAACATATGAAAAACCGGTTGCGAAATACCGTTTGCCAGTAGAAGTGTAAGCGGTTTAAATAGCTGCTGCTGTTTCACCAACATTTTCGTGCATATTTGATATGATCATGTGTAACAATGCATCTCCCGCATCCGACAAAACGAACGAACGAACGAACAAAGCAAAATGATACGAAACGAAAAAGATACCGCGCGGGCCGTACGATTGTATAGATTCGAGACAGAGAGCCTCTTCTAGAGTTGCCGGCACTTTGCGCCTCGCCACCGACAAAGTTGTCGACAAACGGAAGATCACCTCCCTCGAAAACTGCAATGCGGCGTGCGACCAACCTCCTCTATCCACCGTCGAGGTCAACCTCGTCCACCTCTACATCCCTCAGACCCCCATTGTTCGACTCTTTCTCGTTGCATGGTTTGGTTACCTTATTATTCCTACTTTGTCTTTCGTGCCTTTTAAGTTGTGCTTCTGACTTTGTGTTATTTGTGTATATGTGTATAATTACTAGCAATTGGTCGTCGATCGTTCAGTGCCAAAGGGTCTCGACCAGTCCCTCCAGGGGCCATCGAACCTCTCTCCGCGACGATGCTTCGCTATTCGCGTCGCTGTTCGGTCTCTCAACACCATTCCCATTGAATCGGAAATTAGAAACGAATGTAATCAATCATGCACCGACCAAACTTGCAGAATTGATTTCGATACGAACTCAAAAGTGCATTCTAATTCACAGAAGCTAGCACTGATTAGATGAATTCTGTCTTACGGTAATTCTAACGAGAACGAGCTCGAGATAATTAGTTTGAATCTTGGCGGACCGAGGTAAGAAAATGTCTCTACTGCTCGACGACGATAACGGAGAGAAAATGAGAGATCTCGCTGCGAGTTTGTCCCGAGAGAGGAATAGAGAGAGAAACGGAAAGAGAAAGAGAGAGAGAGAGAGAGAGAGAGCAACGGCGCGAATATCGGTGCATCGGGATTAGGAGGTTTAATATTCGTCAACTGTAATCGCCTCTTTAGCACTGAAACTGGGTCGCGACTAGATTCTACCACGAGTTGCCGAGTTTCGTTCTAAGACATAGCCGAGTACCGTACACGCACGGAATACCGATTGATCGGGAACGAAGAGGCGGGCGTCACGTCGCGCGCGAATGAAGAGACGAGCCGGCTGCAAAACTTGAAATCGTTTCCAGTTCATCGGCCTGTTTGATCAAACTTCCGTTTGCCGGCCCAACACCGCCGACGCGACGTGACGACGTGTTTTCGTTCCGCCGGGACTTTTACTTTGAATACAGTGTAAAACGACTCGAGAGAACGGAGAGTAATACTGTCGTCGTAGATTGGACTTAGATTAGATGATAGCAGTTGCTTTGTTGGAGAAGTAACGGGCGACTGTGTTGCCGTTTACGAGGCCGGATAAATGCCTCGGCGCGTACCGGCGCGCTGCCGAAACGGGTTAAACGAAAATCAATTCACCTCGAAGAATCGAGTAATACAATATCTCGTCGTAAATTGTAGACGTAGTTTAGCTGGATCTTGCTTAAGTAATTCGAAAGTAGATAATTAGATTATAGAACAAATCGTCGATGCTTGGATGCAAACGGTTTCGATGATCCTGTTAACAGTTTGACTGATATATTCGACTAATCTTGTAAGCGTCAACTCGCTCGCTCCTACTTCAGCGTACGACCGAGCACAGTGAGAAACCGATCACATTAGTTCACGGTGACAGTGTGTTTACCGGATTATTAACGCTATCTTCCTCTGACAGCCGATCAGCTGTTGTCCGTGGCCGCGTTGTCACGCAGCTTGGCACCGGTTTAATGGGGGTGCGAGTTAGCACCAGCACGCCGCTGGAAGGTTTCACCCTGACGAGAGACGACGGCTGGTTTGATCTTCTGGTCAACGGTGGTGGAGCTGTTACCCTGCAGTTTGGCAGGTCGCCGTTCAAACCCCAGAGCCACATTGTCTTTGTGCCGTGGAACGAGGTAGAACTATGTTAAATATAATGATTGCACTGCGGATTTCATGCATTTATGGCAAAATTGGATTGTTATAAATTCAAATAGGGTAAAAAGTAAAAGAATTTAATCGACTAGGATGATTTAAAGAAGAATAATCAATTTGGTCCCTATTCCTTGGAATTGATGGTGACAATTTTTATTTTGCATAAAAATTCGCAGTCTAATAATAATAATCGCTAATTGTAAGCAGACTGCCACTAGACTCGGGCAAGGTTCTGAGATGACAATGAGTAACGCTTGATCTGTCTCTCTATCGTCTATGAGACAGGTATCTTTTGTCTGGGTGTAAACGCTTTTCGAGTTTTCGTTCCGACATATTCGAGTCGAGATTCAATTACGATTCGCATAATCTAGAGACGTTATGAAAGAACGATCTCTGTGATCGATTTAAATGCTCCAGTGCGAATTCCATCAAGTAAATCGGTCGTTTCTAACCGGCTGAATCCTAAAATATCCAGGATTATGTTACTTCCAGGAAATGAGGGGTTTCCGAGGTCGTTTGAAGTAACTTTTTCCTTAGCGCGAATGCACGAAAAACATTGACCAATAAGAGGCGAGCTAGGTTGGCACAAGCCTGGAAGTAACATAATTTGTTACTTGAATTAATCGTTATTTGAAATAACAACGCCTGTATACTCGAACGAGGATACCATCGTATGGAGGACGACTAACGGAACGTGATGTTTCGAAGGTGGTGATCATCGACAAGATTGTGATGAGTACAGCGGAGGAAAAGCAGCCGGTGCACATCCCCCACGCCTGCGCCGCCCACGACTACGACTTGATGAAACCGGTGGTTCTAGCAACGTGGAAACACGGTTTCCAGGGCGCGTGTCCTGACAAGAGCGCCATTTTGGCCGAATCCCAAGTGATTCAGGAGAGCCTACAAATTCCTGGCACGGGGCTGAACCTTGTCTACCACAGTTCCCGAGCGGCCGGTTACCTATCCACGATACAGCTTCAATTGACCCCGGAAGTGATCCCATCGACCTTGAATCTAATCCACCTGAGGATCACCATCGAGGGCATTCTGTTTGAGAAAACGTTCGAGGCTGACCCGGTGATAAAGTTCACCTACGCCTGGAACAGGCTGAACGTTTACAGGCAAAGAGTTTACGGGGTGACTACAGCGATGGTGAAGGTGGGATACGAGTATAACGATTGCAAGGACATCATTTGGGACGTGCAGACGACCAAGCTCAGCGGCCACGACATGTCCATTTCTGAAGTTGGCGGCTGGAATCTGGATATTCATCACAGATACAACTTCCATGAGGGAATCCTGCAGAAGGGAGACGGCTCTAACATCTACTTGAAGCAGAAGCCTAGAGTGATCCTAACTACTATGGGAGATGGGCTCCAGAGACCGTTGGAATGCTACGATTGCGACGGACAGGCGTCTAAGCAACGACTGCTTGCTCCCGTTGCTCTAGCCACGGCTCCGGACGGGTCTATCTTCGTTGGTGACTTCAACCTGGTCAGGAAGATCCTCGTCGACGGTACCGTGAGGACCGTTGTCAGGCTCAAGTAAGTCGATCGCAAGTTACCTGCTGAGACTTTGCTAAGATATCGAGCTTGAAGCAGCCAATTACTTAATTTTTCATAAACGAATCCAAAGATTTGAAGTAGCCCGCGTTATTAAAAATCCTTGTTCTCTTTCAGCGCAACAAGGGTGTCCTACCGCTACCACATCGCCTTGAGTCCTTTGGACGGATCTCTCTTCATTTCTGACCCAGAGTCGCACCAGATCATCCGCGTCCGCAACATCAACGACTACTCGGACCCCGACCATAACTGGGAAACGATCGTAGGTTCCGGAGAAAGGTGTCTTCCCGGCGACGAAGCTCATTGCGGCGACGGCGCGCTGGCCAGGGACGCTAAACTCGCGTACCCTAAGGGAGTGGCAGTCTCAACGGACAACATCGTGTACTTCGCCGATGGGACCAACATCAGAATGGTGGACAGGGACGGCATAATCACCACAGTGATCGGCAACCATATGCACAAATCGCATTGGAAGCCCATTCCTTGCGAAGGAACGCTGAACGTAGAAGAAGTTCATCTACGCTGGCCAACTGAATTGGCGATTAACCCTCTGGACAACTCGCTGCATATGATCGACGACCACATGGTGCTCCAACTGGCTCCCGATGGCAGGGTGAAGGTCGTCGCTGGACGTCCGCTTCACTGTGCCTCGCCGTCTTCGTCGTTCGACACCGAGTTGGCAACGCACGCCACCCTGGTGATGCCACAGAGCATCGCGTTTGGCCCGTCCGGGAACTTGTACATCGCCGAGAGCGACTCCCAGAGGATCAACAGGGTCAGAGTGATCGGCACCGACGGCAAGATCTCGCCTTATGCCGGAGCAGAGTCGAAGTGCAACTGCCTCGAGCATGGCTGCGACTGTTTCGAAGCTGATCACTATCTGGCCTCTACCTCCAAGTTCAACACGATATCCGCGGTGGCTGTGTCTCCCGACGGTGTAGTGCACATCGGTGACCAGGCGAATTACCGGATCCGATCGGTGATGGCTAGCATTCCCGACGCTAGTGGGGCCAGGGAGTACGAGATCTATGCACCGGACACTCAAGAGATCTACGTTTTTAACAGATTCGGCCAGCACGTGGCCACCAAGAACATCTTGACGGGCGAGATCGTGTACCAGTTCACGTACAACGTGAACACCAGCAACGGCAAACTCAGCACCGTCACCGATACCGCTGGCAATAAAGTGTTCCTGCTGAGAGATTACAGTAGCCAGGTGAACTCGATCGAGAACACGAAAGGACAGAAGTGCAGGCTCAGGATGTCCAGGATGAAGATGCTGCACGAGCTGAGTACTCCGGACAATTATAACGTGACGTTCGATTATCATGGACCTACCGGCTTGCTGAAGACCAAGCTGGACAGCACAGGCAGGAGTTACGTATACAATTACGACGAGTTCGGCCGACTGACCAGCGCCGTCACACCGACCGGCAAGGTGATCAGCCTGACGTTCGACCTGAGCCTGAAGGGAGCCGTAGTCAAGATCGGGCAGAACAATAAGAAGCCGATCTCGATGCTGATCAAGGGATCGTCGGTGGTTACAAAAGTGGGAGAGGCTGAGCAAAGGACCACGGTCCTAGCCGACGGTTCTGTCGGCCAGATGACGCCGTGGGCTCACACCATCAGCACGGACACTCTGCCGTACACCGTCCTAGCTGAGATAGAACCGCTGTTGGAAGAGAGCTACCCGGTGCCGGCTAAGCAGAAAACAGAGATCGCCGGAGACCTGGCGAACAGGTTCGAGTGGCGGTATTTCGTGAGGAAGCTTCAGGGCACCAAGAACCGAGGTAACTCGAAAGGAGGAGTCGCACAGGTTGGCAGGAGGCTTCGCGTCAACGGGGACGTTCTTCTATCGCTCGAGTACGACAGGGAGAGCAACAGCGTAGCCGTGACCCTCGACGAGATGGAACTATTGAATGTTACCTACGACAAGACGGCGAGACCGATCAAGTGGGGTCCCAGAAACAGCATCTTCGCTGGCGTGGAGCTAGAGTACGACAGGTTCAGCAGGCTGACCAGCTGGACCTGGGGAGACATCAGCGAGACCTACGGCTTCGATAGAGCCGGCCGACTCTACGAGATCAAATACAGCGATGGAACGTCGATGGTCTACGCGTTCAAAGACATGTTCAGCAGCCTGCCGTTGAAGGTGACGACACCGAGAGGCAGCGACTATTTCTTACAGTACGACGAGGCTGGCGCGTTGCAGTCGTTGACCACTCCTAGGGGGCACATCCACGCGTTCTCGTTGCAGACCTCCTTAGGATTCTACAAGTACCAGTATTACTCGCCGATGAACAGACATCCCTACGAGATTCTCTACAACGACGATGGACAGATCCTGGCCAAGGTGTACCCTCATCAAAGCGGCAAGGTCGCTTTCGTCTACGATCATACCGGAAAGTTGGAGACTACTCTTGCCGGTGAGTATCGTTGTTAACAAATTACGTGGTAATCGGTAATCGATAGACCGCAGATTTTATTCATTTATGACAAACGTGAATAGATGGAACATATAAGTGTGAAGCTGTTAAAAGAATTTAAGGATATTGCTACGTTATTTCCAACTTACTAGAATTATTTAGAAAGGAAAGACATTTACGTTTAACTTCGGTTTCTCACAGTTAAGTTAGACAAGTTTGATTTTGCGTACAGATCCGCAGGCAAAGACTAATCAGGAGGAGTTTCATACGCGATGTGCGTCTCTTTTCAGGACTATCTTCGATCCACTACACCTACCAAGAGACAACCAGTCTGGTCCACAGCATCGACATCAACGAGCCGAACTTCGAGATGCGATTGGAGTACAAGTACCACGCTGGCATCGTCAAGGACGAGAAGATCAAGTTCGGAAGCAAGAGCGGCCTGAACAACGCTCGCTACCGTTATCAATACGACGGCAATGCGAGGATATCCGGCATCGAGGTCGACATCAACAGCAAACAGATGCCTCCGCTACGATTGAAGTACAACCAGAACCTGGGGATGCTGGAAGGCGTCGGAGATCTGAGGATCCACAGGAACCTGTTCAACAAATCGGTGATGCAGGACAGCAGCAAACAGTTCTACACTGTGACGGACTACGACGAGCATGGCAGAGTGAAGACCGTTCTAATAAACATACGGGCGTTGGATGTCTTCCGCATGGAGCTCGATTACGACGACAGGAATCGCATCAAGATGAGGAAACTGTCGATCGGCGAGGACTCGAAGATGGAGAAGATCACGTACAATGCTGACGGCCACGTGCTAGAGGTCGCGGACACCGAGAATAATTGGCAGTACGCTTACGATGAAAACGGCAACGTGATCGGGGTCACGGAGCACAACGAGAAGATTGCTTTGGGCTATGACAGCGGGGACCGCGTGGTCCAATATGGCGACGTCGAGTTCAACTCCTACGATGGCCGAGGATTCGTGGTCATTCGCGGGGAGCACAAGTACAGGTTAGCCTTCATTTTCTTTTCCTTCCTTTTCTTTTCTTCGTCGTAACTTCTTTTCCGGTTGTTCCCTATCGCGGATCTCGAAAGCAGCGTCACTCCCACCTTTACGTCAATTACTGCTCTGTGATTTAGGTACAATTCGCGCGGCCAGCTGATCCACGCGTCGGAGCATAAGAAGTCGCAGATCTGGTACTTCTACGACGACCGCGGCAGATTGGTGGCATGGAACGACGACCGCGAGAACATCACGCAGTTCTTCTACGCGAACCCGAGGACACCCGATCTGATCACGCACGTCCACTTCCCGAAGTCGATGAAGACCTTCCGGTTCCTCTACGACGCCCGCAACTTCCTCATCACCGTGGAGACGTCCGAGCAGAGGTTCTACGTCGCAGTCGATCAGAACGGCTCGCCGCTCGCGCTGTTCGACACCAACGGCAACCTGATCAAGGAAATGAGGCGAACGCCCTTCGGCAAGATCATCAAGGACACCAATCCGGACTTCTACCTGCCGATCGACTTCCACGGCGGTCTCCTGGATCCCAACACCAAGCTGGTTTATCTGAACAAGAGACTGTACGACCCGACCGTCGGCCAATGGATGACACCGGCCTGGGAGCAAATGGCCAACGAGCTGACCACTCCGACGGACATCTTCATCTACCGCTTCCGGAACAACGATCCGATCAACTTCAAGCAGAACGTCGAGTACATGACCGATTTGGCCAGCTGGCTGAAGCTCTACGGCTACGATATCTCCGCGATGCTGGGCTCGGAATACATGAAGAAGATGGTGTACCAGCCGAGCGCCACGATCACGTCTCCCCAACTGACCCCGGACTTCGGAGTGATGTCCGGTCTTCAGTGCATCGTGGATCGAGTGCACGAGAAGTTCTCCGACCTGGGTTTCGTTCCCAAGCCTCTCCTGAAACTGGAGCCGAAGACCAGGAATCTGTTGCCGCGAGTGGCCCATCGTCGCGCTGTTTTCGGAGAAGGTATCCTGGTGTCGAGGGTCGGTGGACGGGCATTGGTGAGCGTCGTGGACGGCGCGATGAACAGGGTCGTGCAGGACGTGGTCACCTCGGTGTTCAACAACTCCTACTTCCTGCCGCTACACTTCAGCGTCCACGACCAGGACGTGTTCTACTTCGTGAAGGACAACGCGCTGAAGATCAGGGACGACATGGACGAGCTGCGTCGGTTGGGCGGGATGTTCAACGTGTCGACGCACGAGACCACGGAGCACGGGGCTGGCACCTGGAAGGAGCTGAGGCTGTTCAATCCGGACGCTGCCGTGGTGATCAAGTACGGAGCTGATCCCGAGCAGGAGAGGCACAGGATACTGAAACACGCTCACAAGAGGGCCGTCGAGAGGGCCTGGGAGATCGAGAAGCAGCTGGTGATGGCCGGGTTCCAGGGCAGGGGAGACTGGTCCAAGGAGGAAAAGGACGAACTGATCAATCGGGGCACCGTGAACGGTTACGAGGGCGTCGATATCCACAGCGTTCACAGATACCCTCAGTTAGCCGACGATCCCGGCAACGTCGCGTTCACCAGGGACACCAAGAGGAAACGACGGAAGAGCGGAAACAGACGGAACAGGATCCACAGGCACGACTCGTGATTCAAGGATGTGACGCGAGATCGTAACGCTATTTGGGACTTGGTTCACGCGCCCATGTGAATTCACGTATATGTCGGACAGACTTGACGAAAGAACAATGAAGAGAGACAAGACTAACGTTCTTTACCTACGATCAAGCACCGCGCCCGGAAAATGGGCCCGGTGCTCACCATACATCATCCCCCGAACCGTTCTCTCCGTTCTCTTCTGACCGCGCTCGCGCAACAAAGAGGGAAGTGTGTCCGATCGAGTGCTATTTTTCTTATTTTTCACGTATGAAAACCCCGCTCGGTGTGCCATAAAATAGCGTTGCTGCTTGTGATTCAACTGTCTATAATCGTTTACCTTTCCCGATCGCGCAACGCGATCCGCGGCCGAGTCGTCCGCCGGTGTGCGCGTCGGGAACTGAGCTAGTCACGTTAGTAACGAAACGGAGAAAGTAATTAAAACGATGCTTGTTACGTGGCGAAACAATTAGTTTGTAACAAGCGCGAGAGAAAGGACGACGTGGACTCCGCGAGAGCAAGACACGAGGTGCGTGCAGGAACTTTCCCCAAGGTGCCGTCCGTGACGAGATTACGACGAGTGCGTGGAAGGGATGAGGGAGACACGCAGCAAAAGATTCGAACAGGACACACTAAGCAACTGTACTCTCGTGTTATTCGTTCCGAGTGTCGAACCGGTGTTTCCATGCAACAGGGTCTAGGAGGCGTGCGCGTTTCAACTTCGGCGAGCTTCATTTAGGGAAAACGAGAAATGAAGACGGGAAATGACGAACATGACGGTGAAAAGAGAGAGAGAGAGAGAGAGAGAGAGAGAGNGACCTGGGTTTCGTTCCCAAGCCTCTCCTGAAACTGGAGCCGAAGACCAGGAATCTGTTGCCGCGAGTGGCCCATCGTCGCGCTGTTTTCGGAGAAGGTATCCTGGTGTCGAGGGTCGGTGGACGGGCATTGGTGAGCGTCGTGGACGGCGCGATGAACAGGGTCGTGCAGGACGTGGTCACCTCGGTGTTCAACAACTCCTACTTCCTGCCGCTACACTTCAGCGTCCACGACCAGGACGTGTTCTACTTCGTGAAGGACAACGCGCTGAAGATCAGGGACGACATGGACGAGCTGCGTCGGTTGGGCGGGATGTTCAACGTGTCGACGCACGAGACCACGGAGCACGGGGCTGGCACCTGGAAGGAGCTGAGGCTGTTCAATCCGGACGCTGCCGTGGTGATCAAGTACGGAGCTGATCCCGAGCAGGAGAGGCACAGGATACTGAAACACGCTCACAAGAGGGCCGTCGAGAGGGCCTGGGAGATCGAGAAGCAGCTGGTGATGGCCGGGTTCCAGGGCAGGGGAGACTGGTCCAAGGAGGAAAAGGACGAACTGATCAATCGGGGCACCGTGAACGGTTACGAGGGCGTCGATATCCACAGCGTTCACAGATACCCTCAGTTAGCCGACGATCCCGGCAACGTCGCGTTCACCAGGGACACCAAGAGGAAACGACGGAAGAGCGGAAACAGACGGAACAGGATCCACAGGCACGACTCGTGATTCAAGGATGTGACGCGAGATCGTAACGCTATTTGGGACTTGGTTCACGCGCCCATGTGAATTCACGTATATGTCGGACAGACTTGACGAAAGAACAATGAAGAGAGACAAGACTAACGTTCTTTACCTACGATCAAGCACCGCGCCCGGAAAATGGGCCCGGTGCTCACCATACATCATCCCCCGAACCGTTCTCTCCGTTCTCTTCTGACCGCGCTCGCGCAACAAAGAGGGAAGTGTGTCCGATCGAGTGCTATTTTTCTTATTTTTCACGTATGAAAACCCCGCTCGGTGTGCCATAAAATAGCGTTGCTGCTTGTGATTCAACTGTCTATAATCGTTTACCTTTCCCGATCGCGCAACGCGATCCGCGGCCGAGTCGTCCGCCGGTGTGCGCGTCGGGAACTGAGCTAGTCACGTTAGTAACGAAACGGAGAAAGTAATTAAAACGATGCTTGTTACGTGGCGAAACAATTAGTTTGTAACAAGCGCGAGAGAAAGGACGACGTGGACTCCGCGAGAGCAAGACACGAGGTGCGTGCAGGAACTTTCCCCAAGGTGCCGTCCGTGACGAGATTACGACGAGTGCGTGGAAGGGATGAGGGAGACACGCAGCAAAAGATTCGAACAGGACACACTAAGCAACTGTACTCTCGTGTTATTCGTTCCGAGTGTCGAACCGGTGTTTCCATGCAACAGGGTCTAGGAGGCGTGCGCGTTTCAACTTCGGCGAGCTTCATTTAGGGAAAACGAGAAATGAAGACGGGAAATGACGAACATGACGGTGAAAAGAGAGAGAGAGAGAGAGAGAGAGAGAGAGAGAGAGAGAGAGAGAGAGAGAGAGAGGAAAAGAGAGAGAGAAAGAAGGAAGCAAGAGAAAAGCACAGATATGCAACAAAATATTTTTAACATGCGATGGTGTAATTGCGCGAGCCGTGCGACTGTACATATAGCTACTAACCGTAACTGTAGATAATATATAATATTCGAGAGAGAGAGAGACCGGTAAACTTAAGTGGAAACTGTCGATAATGCTTTTGTATATGTACACAGACACCGAACACAGGCGTACACACGTACATCGCAACACGTACAACACACACGTACAATACATACACACGCGCGCGCGCGCGCGTGTACAAAACCGAGGGAAACGTGTGAACGGTACGCGAGAGACAGTCCTTGACGATCTTGGTAAAAGGGTAAGTGTGCGAAAATCGGTAATTAGATCTTTCGTGAAATAACCGAAGGAATCGAATGAATTTCTGAAATCAGGTTCGCGGATGAGTATGAATATTCGGACACCAGTATCCCAGGTGACGTGTCGGTCGGATCCGGCTTCACTAGATCGTAGCGATCCACGATCGAGCGTTCTGTTGTATATAGTTTGATACGTATGAAACGTTCGCGTGTCGTACCAGATATAAATATATATAATAATAATAATAATAATAATCGAGCAAGAGATTTGTAACGAGGCTTTTCACGTGAAGCCTCGTGATCGGTAATTCGCGTGATTTGGTAGAAATGCCCGCCGTGACGTAACAAGATAAAGCAATAGACGGGCGAAACGAGTTTCGTGACGGTGAACACGCGTCGAGTAATATCCCACGGTGGTATAACAATATAATAATAACGATAATAATGATCATATAACGGTAAAGTAATAATAACGATGAATGAAATAATAGGTGATAACGGATATGATAATATCTAATATTAAATGATAGTAATAACTAAATAAAAAAGGAAGATAATAGTACATAATAACGATGATACTATTGTACGAAAAAATACCCAGCCTATCTTTCTACTAAAAATGAGAAATTATTTTTTGAATTGTGTCGTCAAAGAATATGTCCTATGTGAAACCGTGTGTCTGTGGGATCGTCCCGTGGAAAATCAACCCCTTTCCCACATCCCACCCCCTGATCCCTTACCCCTATCAAAAAGAACGCAACCGATGAATAAGAAAAAGGAAAAGAAGATAATGATGATGAAGAAGAAGAAGAAGAAGAAGAAAAAGAAACCTCCACCCTTTCTGTATGAATATAGTTGAAAATTGATCGGTGTTTGTCAAATATTGGGTAAACGAAGAGGAGGCGGATAAAAATGAAAAATACCAAAAAATCGTAGAGCTCTCTGTGGTACGGATCCGAGGGTGAAGTTTTAAGATGACATAGAAAGTAACGAGAAAAAAAGTAAAAACGCTAATGGGAAATGATAATGAAAATAATGAAAAAACACGCGCTATATAATACGTACGGTAATAAAAATTAACGTAATAGAGAAGAAAAATAGAGCGGGCCAGCGTGCGGAGCGAAACACGTAGCTCGGCCACGTTGTGTTCCAGGTAGTTGTACGGTGAATTCCAAGCAAAACATACATAATCATAATTACAAAGTAACGATACTAGTTGAGAGAGTGAGAGAGCGCGCACGCGAGAGAGAGAGAGAGAGAGAGAGAGAGAGAGGGAGAAAGAATGTGTGTGAGAAAGAATGAACAATTTAGAGAAAAAACGGAAACACGATTAAAAGAGTGTGCTAGCGCGTCCCTTTGATTAAGAAATGATTAACGATACGCCGCTGTACATATCCGTTCATGGATAGCAATTAAAAACGTCGTGGATTCGCCAAGTGTCCGCGTCCACCCACGAAAATCAGAATTTTCTACAAAGTATCCGATTGCCAGACAATGTGCGTTAGGTTCGTTCGTTCGTTCGTTCCATTCATCGAGTTGAAAATTACTCCGGGATCGTCCGGACGCGATCAGTTACGTTTCATCGGACACGACAGTTCCATTTACGTTTGCTGAAACCACCATCGAAATATCTCTACCCTTGATCGGCGAGGCGGAGTCCGGCTGCTAACACGAGGCATATCAATCTGTGATGATTCAACGTTTTCAATACACCCGGTCATGGTTATGCGTTGTATGCATGCACGAATTTCATTCGCTCCTCAAAATTAATCCGAAGCATTCCGCCGTTCAGGCTCCCCTCGCTGATTAGGGGCAGTCGACGCCTGCGACGTTCCTTTTTCGCTGTTCCTAGATTTATCCTCGGTTATACTTCGATCCTTCGGATAGCTTCGTGATTGTTCGCCGGGAGACGCGGGAAAGCGGACGAGGTGTTAAAGAATCGTAAGCTACGGTGAATAGCGGTCTTCTATTTTACCTCGTTAACTATTATAACATCATTCGAACATTATCAAAAGGATGCAGAAAAGAATTATTTATCACATAACTGTATAATGGGACACGAAGATAAGAAATAATTCCAAGACATTTCGAGTGTTTTCTGTTATATTTTCCCATCAAGTGTTACTAACTTCGCCAAAATCAGAAATTATAACGAAACTAGGTCCACAGATAATTCCAATCTCATTTAACACAAATTAATACCTTGTTCGAAACCTGCCAAGCCGCGAAATCCAAATATTGGAGCAAGGACGCATCGGATGCAGGGTTGTATCAGGTCCCGTCAAAACGACATTAACACCTCGGACCGCCAAATGCTTGTCTTATTTGTAGCCCTGAAATCCTCCGTTACCTGTTACCCGCCACGTAGTATCGTTCTAAAATATTCAGTGTGCGAGAAGGTAGTGTGTGCCACCCCCGAATGCAGGAGTCGGCAGGCACCGCCGATCTTCTATGTGTATTTCGTTCGCTCGCGTGAGTGCCACGCGATAGGAACGAAACAAGGGAGAGAGAAAAAGAAGAAACAAAAAAATGATGAAATATGTTAATTTTACGCTTAGCGCCGTGGTCACCTTCGAGCGGCGAGCAGCGCCATGAGAATTCTGCAAACAAGTTCGAGGGTCGAGTCAACAATCACAAAATACGTCCAATGTGCGGAGAGAGAGAGAAAATAAAAGAAACGAAAAAATGGGGGGGATAGGGGCAGAATTCTTGCGGAGTCTCGATCGCAGCGGCGGCGGAGTGGAAACCGATGGATCGTCCGCTGCGACTCGGATGGGGACGAACCACGATCGGCACGTGACTAAAAGAAAGCAATACTTCGTAACTATCGCGTATGTCTAACGAGATTTAATGTCTCTGACGAGAGCAAGAAAGTCGAGAGATAGAGAGAGAGAGAGAGAGAGAGAGAGAGAGAGAGAGAGAGAGAGAAGCGTTATCGTAAGAATGGTAAAAAAACGCGTGCAAGAGAAAGAATGAGTGAGTGAGTGCGAGCGAGATTTGTTATATGGTATATTAATATATAACGAATTGTGTTAAATAATAGCAGAAAGAAGGAAAGAGTCGTGCGCGGTTTTCCTTTTTAACGAACTGAAAAGGTTTCCGACCGCCTCGGTAAAGTACGGCAAGTATGCGGTTCATCGGTGTTCTCGTTTTCCGTTTTCCTTTTATCGAAACGACGATTGCGTGTCCTCCGCTCCTTTTTGTACATAACCACGCGTCGTTGACTAAGAAACTCCGATTTCTCTTTCGTTCCGTATTGTTGATCGCCGCGACACTTTTCTATATTGCTCACAAGAAACGCATCGTTCGGATGAAGCAGACACAGACGGTGTCGATTTCTAAGGTGTTCAAGGTTATCGGTAGCGATTCTTACTCTCCTATACCAGCGCGTACGGGTTGCGCCCTTTGCAGCGATGGGTGTTTTTTTGCGGATAATTCGATCCTCTTCTCAGCTCGGTTCGACAATATGATCACTGCGAAAAATGAAAAGTCCAATACTTGACAGAATCTTGAACTCTGGGACCTAGAGAAACGCGATCCTGTTTCTTGTGACACGGTTTTCCTTTGCTCGCATGAAACTTTATCGAGTAACCGACAAATGTTTCCTATTGGCCGACCAGAGAGGGGGAACTTACAAGGTAGACGCGCTGCAGATTTCTATCCATTTATAGCCTCTATAAGCTTTTTAACACTGGAACTACCAAAGCGATAACTTTGTATGTATTGCTTTTCAATGTAGCAAGACCGCATTTATCAAAACGTTACACGGTCATTATTGCAATGTATATTTGATCAAATATGTATGTCCAGTAAATGTCCAGGAGAACATCTTTATAATCTTTGATAGTTGTGATAGACGATAATAAGGAATCTGAAAAATCTGCCAGTTCGATGTGTTCGGTAGTTCTAGTGGTAAATAGCGGTTCAACCGATTCTTACCGAATTAACTACAAATCGATACTGCCATGTAATATCAGCAACATCGCGAGAATAACGAAGGAATCACCTAAATCAGTTGCATCTACTCTTTGGACAATTATTTAGAAGATGCATCATTTCGTATAGGAATGGAAAATTGCATAAACAACCACGGTATAGTTCTAAGTAGCTCGTTTTAAGTCGTTCCAACGTTCAATTTATGCCAAAAACTCGGTGACCAAGGATGACGATAACAGTTCCGTTGATTAACGAACTATCATTGCAAATGGGAAACGCGTGCGATAGTCACGTGTCACTGACCACAGCCCCACAGGGTAGTAGAGATTTTATATCGACGATCGTTCAGAAAAAAACCTGCTGCAATAATTCGACAACTGGCGCGCGCATCGCCCGATAGTAATCGTAACGAGAAAGAACTCATGCCAATGGATAGGAAGAAGATCCCCCGGAACCCAAATCGATCCCATCGGCCTCTTTTTCAGCCGTTCGTCGCAGTTCGTCCGTTCTTCTGTATCCTGTGTTCGTTCTTTCGTGGAGATTGTACATATTAATTGCGATCATTATGTAAATACTTTTGGAACACGTACACACTCACACAAGAAGAACCACACACTCATGTAGCCGGTGGGCAGGATACAGAGAATTCGTAAGATCAAACTCTAGAAAATCGAATCCATTGCTGAAACCTAATTGACTGTTCGATGTGCGGATCCGTTGATTTTTCATGCAACTTGACCTTTTCGAGAACAATTATTCAAAATCCTGAAGAATAGTGTTACGGGTCCGATGCATCTTGTCCACCCGCTATGCACGCGCGTGCAATCTGTCCCGCGTGAGGTTTATTTTAAAGACTACATCATTATATATGATACCATGTAATGATATTTAACAGTAAGGTAACATATATTCTATACTCTTACACGCTAAGTACTCAATAAATATATCTATAAAATTTCCCCGTGTTTGTGACTGTCTGCCCCATGACCCATCCCGTCGATCCCGTCGATATCGTGGCGTCTGAACCATCCAAAAAATCGATCCGTCGTAACCGATTTTTACATCACCTCTGTCGCCATGTCTCATTTTGTGTTCAGCATCTACCCCATTGTTCCCGTTAAATGTTCATACCTCGCCTTTGTTGACAATCGTCGTACAGTTCTCTTTCCCATGACAATAGCGAGATGCTTGAATGTATAAACAGATTATTTGTATTACACAAGAATATATGTAGATGTATATAAATATTATACATATATGTATCTGATGATCCCGCTATCGGTCCGAACGTTTGCAAAAAAAAAAAGTACCTACGAATGTGTGATGTGATAAAACGTTGGTAGTTTCCTATAGGATAATGATAAGTGTTGATTAAAGACTTTTAGTAAAATCCCTGACAGCGTTGTTGTCATTTGCTTTACTCTTCTCCGATGATATGAAGTTTCTAGCGATAGACATCGATTTTGTAAAGGGTGTCTCGATGAAAAATGAGGAAAGCTTTTCGAGAGAAAATCGTTTTCTAGACCACAAAATGCTTTACAAACCTGGTAAATAAATCCGTGATCAACAAAATTTCCTTCCTTCTCATCGCGTCCCGCAACGATTACATTAAAATCATAAAACCGCATGTTTTGTTTCATCAAAAGTTTTATTAAAATAACGTGTCCAATGACATGACTTTTAATGAGAAGAATTAACGGATAACGGCCCCAAGTCTTTCGGATTGTAGCCTTCGTCGAAATGAAGCCTTTCCGGTTCCATTTTGCTGAAAACATTACACACAAAATTGTTTCATTCGTACACGAAAGAAGTTCACAGGCCATGTAAGTACTACGTCATTACTTTATTTCGCCTCGGTGCAGAAGAAAGAAAAAAATGAAGAAACGAAAAGCAAACTTACGCTACGGATCATTGTGTTTGTTTCGATCGGCGTGATAAGATTTACGTGGATCGAAAAGAGAGAAATGTCAAGAATTGATTTCTTAGAGAACATGTTGACGCGCAAGTGCCTTTAAATACATAAATTGCAAATTGTTAAGTAAGTTTCCCACGACAATTGATTTTATATGATTTACCAATGAGAAATAAAATGTACATGAGCTTGGAATCTTTGTATATTATTTATTACGAAACATTTCCTGTTGTCGATGCTTACAATTTGGTGGATCGTATTAGATATAGCTATTTATAAAGGTGGGCAAATATTTGTCTCGTCGACAGAATAAACGATAGAAATTATAGTGCGTTCGCGTACCGTGTTCTGTACACATGAAACAACACGAGAAATCTCTCGAGTTCGTTTTGTACATGATTCGCGTATGATGCGCACATTTTTATTTAACAACAGCACAATATCCGAACACTTGTTTTCGTAAATATTGTTGACGTTGCACGACCGACGGCATCGCGTGCAATTAGTTTATTTACTTGCTATCGTAAAAACAAATCGAATGCACAGATTGCTCGGTCGATCGTTCAGTCGCACGTAAAAGAAAACCGTGTTCGGAACGTTATATGAACTTTCATGTGCACGTAGTCACGCGACACGTTTCACGTGAAATCAATCTGTTGTACTGTATCGAAGTAGCACCAGGATTGCTATACCGACAGAAGCGAACTATCAATGATATCGAAATTCCGAAATATCTGAAGTAATACTTGTGTGTAGGAATATATTACAATTTCGTATTACTATATTTATCCCTTCGGGTTCGAAAAATACTGTATCTAGAATCTTCTAAGCGAGAGAGAGAGAATACCCTAACTCTTCCGAAAAATCTTAATCTTTTTATCGATAGACTAACGAGATTTCTCTGGGCACACTCTGGTCAAAATCAATTATTGTGATTCAGTAACTGTTTGATTGACGATTCCCCTATGCTTGTAATTCCCGTAGAAGTTAATGACTTTAGCGCATATGTCTTTAAAATGTATTATTATTAACAATTATGAAATATAAAAACGTCGTTCAATCATGAAGCTGAGAACTTAGCGTGACTAGTTTTTGTAACGAAGTGGAATGGTAAAAGAACTTGGTACATTCACTCGAAATATTTCCATATATAGAGTACATGGAAATATTCTATAATAACGATTATCCGAATGATACTGTCTTTACGGTAATAAATATTTTTCTTTATTGTTTTCAAAGTCGAAACTATTCTATAGTAATCGTTTATGCTCTTGACTCATTCGGATAACGAACACTAATCGTTCATTTTCCTAAATGACTTTTAAAATGGATGTTTAAAATTCCAACACGTTACACTCGTCGTTACATTGTCGTTCCGAGCAATAGTTGCTTGCACATGGATTCAACTAAACAAGCGAATAGAAAAATGTTTCTACAGACGATCGGGGAGATGTGTTCTTTGGAAGAATCATTAGTGGACGTTAAATAAGGTGAATTCACGTCTCGTGAACTTCACATGATCCCGATAAGAAACATTCATTCATCGCAATGTTGCAATCGATTTCAACGCGTTGAATGCCTTGGGAGTCACCAGTGACCGGATACTGTTAAGTTGTGCAGAAGTGATCAGAATAACTTAAACACTAAGGGACGTTCTGTAACATTTGAATTAGCTAGTGAAGTAAATTGTAAAACAAAAATTGCGCTAGTGAAGGATATCAATGTTGAATTCATGAGACAAGGACACTCAACGTGTTAAAGTTCGAGTCACAACACGTAGCGGAATTACACGCCTTTAACGCAATTCGTTGTTACAAATGATACATATAATAGCAACTATATGTACAAGAATACAAACGTACAGTCGTTTACATGAGTCATTTGTCTTATACAGAAACACAACAATGTCATAAGTACAATTGGATTTCTCTGAATAGAACTTTACTTACTCAAGGCCTAGGCCCAGATTGATACCTTGAACGAGAGTTACGAATAACGGTTGCCAAGCGACTAGCCACCTGATGCAGTCGAGCAACTGACCGTACAAAACGTGAGGACGTTCCCATCTTCGTGCTGTGTTAAGGTTCATATGAAAAGAATGATTATTTTAGCGACAAAGAGATCATGATTGAACGAAGGATACGGATTGCAGAACATTTTCTTAAGGTCTACTTTCTCTTTGCAGTACGGACACGTTTGCTTTTTCCCGACGATGCACCAACCTCTGATGCAAAACTCATGAAAAACGTGCTCGCAACTGAGCTTGTACGTATTCTCTATAACACCGGGTTCGTTCTCCGACACTAAAAGCTTATTCCCACACACAGCACACACATTTGGCTCTAAAGTCCTTGTGGGCATTTGGCCTGGTACATAATACTGTAAATTATGTAATGTAGCAGACTCAGCTTCGGTTACGCGAGTAATGTTCTTGCCAGTACATACCCCAATATGCGAAGCCATCTTGTCAGCACTTATTTCGGCGATGTCTCTTCCTAACACCCCGAAATAGAGACCATAAAATATCAAATGGACCCCACAGTCCATCCACTCTTGTGGCCTCACGTCAAACACTATGTTCAAACCAAGAAACGTGGCTAACATTATAACGTAACTTACTATACCTAACACATAGCTGAGAGTATAAATAAATAGAAACCATTTGTATACCAGCCTGCAAGAAGACGGAATTTTACCATCAAATTCCACAGAATGTTTCTTATCTAAGGAATGTTGTAATGTACCTTGGCGTTGTACCCACAATAGGTTTTTGAACAGCTTTTCTTACAACTAGTCCTGTTATACAAGAGAACACCAACCAAAAAAATGTAAACCTCCACCAGTGATTTTGTAAGCTTATTCCAAACGGAATAAGCCACATAAAAATTAAAGTAACAAACTGAAGGAAAACATTATATTCTTTAGATCCTTGGAGGTATATGATGTATGGTAGCATCGAATAGCAGTAGTTATCTTACTTGGTACGATCTGAAATGCCATTTCTTCCATTGAACTAATATAATCTGTGCTGCCAATAATGTTGCTAAAGAGATAATTATTATTTCTGCATGCATAGCCTCGTGTCCTTTGTGCCGGTCATGCATTTTTATGTGATTCATCCTGAAATATTAACAGTAATAACTGCTTGCGGCAATACCTTGCAAATTTTAAACCATATATTTATCTCGACTCAACCAATGACTCAACATGTTGTACAGAAATTTAATCGAAATTTTAACTTTACAATTTCTTGTCATTACCTGATTTTTTCTTCAGGAGTCATCTCATCCTCGCTCTGAAATGAAAAATATTTATGTTACAAAAATAAACGCAATACTCCGAAATAGAACAGATAGTTGATTGTCTTATTTAAATTTGAAGAATATCGCACTAAGTCATTATATTATTTTTACGAAACTACCATAAATTAATAAGAAAATAAACAATGAAATATAGAAATTTTTATTTTTCATCGAGTTAAATATTGTTCGTAGAGGTTATATTTGAATAAATATATGATACGTGACCATTTTTAATGTAACCTATTTGTAAATTAATTAAATCTAAAATATCGATATACCTTATTTATGAGCACGTGGGAATGCATGTTTCATAATATATTTAGTTATTCCTTAACTAGAATTCATTATATAGACTGCAATAATAGTACAATACAGAATATTCTTCCTTGATATTCTAAAACTTTGTTCACAGTGATGCACACATGACATGTTAGTATTGTAATCACCCAGTGTTAGT